TTGAATAATCTGATGATCGCCTCTCAGGACATGCATGGTTGTGTTTGAAATTGCCAGACGAAGCTATCCAGACACATTGACTTTGCTTTATGTGGGAACAAAGTTTGGTTGTAAAATTAGAATAGTAATTGCTGGAGGCGTTCCATCACTTATTTTTTTGCAAAAAGCTTGAGCCAAGACAGACGTTTTGTGCTGTGTCTCAAGAAACTGATGAGTGGGAGTATTCCTCTTTGGCTTCAATGGACTGTAAATCAGACTGCAGAAGCAGCCAGGAGCAGTTTAGGATAAGGTAGATTTCTGCATGGAGGAAAGGCCCTGGATGAGGCCCTACTGCCATTGGCATCTCCTGTGAGTTTGTCCTTGGGGACAGAAGGATTCCTGCTGAAGGTGGCGGGGAATAGGCCAAGTAGTAGTCTCTGAACTATCTAGGTCCTACCCCAAGGAGGGCTTTGTATCTCGGAGTGAGTTGGCAGCCTGTGAAATTGGCAATGCAAGCATAATGTTCTCTGTCACCTACCCTACCCAACAGGCAGGCAGTCCTGGGTTGCGCTATCATGAAGTGCTGAGTGGCAGAGCAGTATGGAGAAGACCAGCATTGAGGCGATAAGGACATGGACTACAACTTTCAAAAGCAGGGGCCTACAGTTATGTTCCTTGACCCATCTCTAGACCTCTAAGCAAGTGACCTTATTTTCACAAGTGCTGGGCACCTGGTGACACATTTAGGTACCTAAAGGTAGTCATCAGAGACCTAGGGGTTAGATTTTCAAAAGCACCTAAAGAATTTAGTAGCACAAGCCTTTTGGAAATCTCCCCCAGATGTGGCCAAACACAAGGTTGGTCCAGTGGTTTGGGGACTAGCATGGGAACCAGGTTTGATTCCTAGTTCTGCCACAGATTTTTTCTGTGTGACCTTAGTCAAGTCACTTAGTCTCTCTCTGCCTCAGTTCCCCATCTGTACAATGGAGATAATAGCAGTGCCCTGCCTCACAGTGGTGTTGTGAGAATAAATACATTAAAGTTTGTGAAGAGGTCAGGTACTACTATGACGGGGGCCACAGAGAGATTTTTCAGGTCAGGTTTATCCTACTCCAGTGTCCCCCTCCTGCTGCCTGGTTTCCATGGCTATTTCTCACCTGGTTTCTGATTTGGTGGTAAATTTAAATTTATGCCCAGCATATTGTATAGGTATAGGACATCTGACGTACTCTGGACTTTGCTATACTGATTGATTTTGTATTGCAGTATACGTTTCAATAGTTTGGGCTGTAGTATTTCAAGGAACAATTACTGTTACACTAGGAAGTTTGCCTAATTCTTTACCTTGCCCTTTTACACAACTGACTCCTCTTCAGCCTTGTTATCTGGCTTTGGGACAGGTTCATTACTTCAGATTGTTAAACGAGTACTTGCTCTTGTAATTAAATGGGTGTCTTGGGATTAAACTCACTGTCACAGAATGTAAAAGAAAGCACATTCTAGTCATGATTAAGAGGCAAGACGTGCCAGTAGCTATCCCTCAGCTATCTGAACACTCTTGGGCATACTAAATTGTGCAGGGACTGAGTGGAGCTGGTCTAGGCATCCACCTTCAACACAAAGAGCATATGGTCCCATAGAAACCAGGGCCAGTTGATATAAATTAGAGCAGCCCCTAAGCTGCTCCAAGTTACACTGATATGACTGGCACAAATATGTCATAAGAGTCAGCGAGGGGTTACTTTCTTCATCCCTGCACCACACCAAGCATATCTCCTTGCAGTACAGAATCTGGACCTATATCTTAACAGATAAGCCAACTTTCAGTGATAAGGGAGGTAGAATAATAATAAGGACAATGATATAAGGAGAAGAATTAATCTTCTATAATATTTATGCACCAAGCAATCCTGATCCCAGGTTTTATTTTTAGCAGAGTCCTCTCCCTTCCTTTGTTCATGCAAGAAAACACATCCTGATGGGTGGGGATTTTAATTGTAGCCCAGAATCTCATCTACTTCAAATACCCCCACCCAAGAGGCTATCCTAGAGTCTGCTGAGAGGTTTAGTTGCAGACCTTTTGCTGATTGTTATGTGGAGGTTGTTACACACTGAGGAATCCAACTTCACTTCATTTACTTGGTTCAGTTTCCCTGGTTCACTTTCCAAACTAGCTCCTTAGTAGAATATGTCTCATCAGCTACCACCAGTAATACTTTAATCTCAGGCCAGACTGTTATTAATGTAATGATGGACCAAGCCACTCAGCAGGGGATGAGAGAGAAGCCAATGGTGGGTTATTCTCTGTTTCAGCATTCAGCATATCCAGAGCATCGATTTAGATTCTCTAAGGAAATGAATCCTATAAAGGATAGTAATGTAGAAAACAGCCACAGAGGTAGCCAGTCAGATTCCCGAACCAGTAAAGGGAGTCAGATGTAAAGCTTTTTGAAACGGGGAAGGGGGCGCGGGGAAATCAAGGAATTGCAAGTCAGGTTCCTGAAGAATGGCGAAGTAGAGGAAGGGAGTGGGGAACAAGGAAGGCCCAGGAGTTAGGATGGTAGCTGGGACTTAGAAGACAGGTTCAGTTATCTCCTCTGCCACAAACTTCCATGTAACCTTGGCCAAGTCTCTTAGACTCTCTGTCCCTCAGTTCCCCATCTGTACAACAGAGATAATAGCACTGCCCTACTTCACAGGGTATTGAGGATAAATATATTAAAAATTGTGAGGAGCTCAGATATTAGTGATGGGGACCAGATAAGCACTTTTGCTAGATAGATGGCCAGTTCAATGTAAGATTTCTACTATTTTCTACTATTTTCCCCTTAAGGTAGGATGTTATCCTCCTGGACTTGATGAGTTTGCAGGGGGATGAAATTTCAAAGGCCTTAGTGAATTTAACCCTGCAACTGACAGCATGCAGGCAGACTGTCACCTGCTGCACCATTGAAGTCAATGGGGCTCCATATGCGCACAGCAATTCACCCGCATAATTGCAGGATTGAGGGATGGGTTTATTGTATATTTGCAATATTTTGACACCGGGACCCTCCTATTATTTTCCAATCTGGCCAATGTCACCCTTATTTTAAAACCTGATAAGAATCTCAAATACAGTGTGTGGGTCCTGTTGTCCCAGATTTTCTTTCTTAATCTAGATGTCCAAATACTTTCCAAGGTCGTAGCTTCACTCTTGAAACCTCTTATCACATGATTAAACTGAGTTTGACATGGAAAGGCGCTAAGTAATAAATAATAGATGATGGCTCTGTGCAATGGGCTCTTTGTCTCTGGAAGTCTTTGGATGCAGAGAAAGCCTTTGACAGTGTGGAGTGGGAATCTTTCTTTTTCTTTTTTCTTTCTGAGCCTGTTGCTTTAATTTATGGCATGATTTTAAATATGTATTCTAGGTCTTGTCTCTATTCCCAGAACTTCAGTGCTCTCTGACAAAGTATTCCCTAACTATTTCACCCAGGGAGGGGGCAAAAGTCAGGGTGTTGCTTTATCTGCAGCTGTCGAATCTCTCGCTGAATGACAGTCTAGTTCTGTCCCTAGAACTGGGGGATGTGTGAGGAAAGTTGCCTTTTACTTAGGTTGAAAGCTCTTTGGGGGCAGGGATCATATTTCTTCTGTGTTTGTGCCTAGCACAATGGGATCCTCATCTATGATTGGGGATCGTAGGCACTACTGCAGTCCAAATATTCAATAATAATATATGCAGACATATTTTGTTGTTTAACCAAACATCTCTGGGGTGACTGATTTTATTGGATATTTTAGTTCTTTCTCTGGGTTTTCCTAGAATTTCCCCCCCCCCCCTCCATCCCAGTCATTTTGACTCTTCCCCCACAAGGGAAAAGGGGGCTAAAATGGGAAATAAAATAGTACTGGTGGTACTTTTATCAGCTCTCCCCACAGCTCAAGGTTCACCCACTCAAGATGCCAGAGTGAGATGCCATTCACAGCAGCTTGCGGAGCAGTTCAGAGTGTGGCGACGTGTGCTGTATTCAGAGAGGGAGTGCGTGTTCATGGCTACTCCTTCCAGGGTGCTCCTCACGCTGCAGCAGGCCATGTCTGCTGATTGGCAGGTGGCCCTGTAGGCTCTGTGTCCCCTTTTAGGCTGATTTGTGCCCCTGAGGGAACTAGAAGGAAATGCAGTTTGGTTTGGCCCCTGAGCAAGGGAAGTGAGGTTCCTTGTACCTTCCTTATCTCTTGTGCACCAGGTACAATCTGGCCCTTACTTTAGCAGTCTCTATGGCTGGCGTCTCTGTAGAGACAGAGAGAGTTGTGTTCAGCATTCTCCTGGATCGTACCTCCAGAACCTGGATTCTCTCCAAGCCTTAGGGTATAGAAGGGAATTATTTTGCTCTCTGTGCACCTCCTGTAATGTCTAACAGCGAGACCAGCAAGTTCCCGCGATGGGAATGAGCTCCCTGCTTTAGCTGAGTTTAGGTGAAAGTATTCTGCTGCATCCAGGGCTTCCTGATATTCACTTCAACGTGGATGATGGTGTGTCCACAGCACTGGATTGGACATAAGCAGAGAGTGATCGAAGAACATGGTGATTGTGACACATGCTGGGAAACCATCCAAAAGCATCTTTATTTTTTTTAAATTATAAAATAGAGACTTGATTTAGGAAACGAGCATTTCTTGTCTGCCCTTTGGGTTCAGAGTAAATGCCTTACAGAGCGCGCGTCAGCTAGAAAGCTCCTGAAAGGAGAGGTTCAGTATGTGCACCTGGTGCCTCCTTTATTCCTCCTCTGAGTGCAGAAATGCTCAGTGCACCCATGTAGCCGTCCTCCTGGCTAAGCATAATGTCATTGCTGTTCCATCGGGAGGGGCTGTTTGTGAAGGTAACTGTCCGGATCGCCAGCTCACGTAAAGCAGAGTAACTCCATTGAAGCCAATGGAGCTGCGCAGACAATCTGGCTCAGGGGATTGTTATTATAGTTATCACAAAGTCTGATTTATTTCCCCGCCTCTCTCCCTTCTTAGGCTGACCCAGTTGGACACAAGAATGAAGCTTCTGGAACCATGGAAGTTAGCCCTTATTGGTCTGGCCGTCGTGTTCTTTATGGCACTAGTCATCGGTCTGCTTGTATATTTTTTGCTCTTTGGTAAGTGCGACAGTCTTGCTATCATGGGTGAATTGTACGTGCTGGGAGTTTACTGTTGTGATCTTTATGTGATGTACAAAGGATGGAATTCACCCCAGGGCGTGAGTCTACTTAGGACCTTTTAGTCCCATGTTAAGGGTGTAATTAACAGTTTCCTAAAAACACCTCTTAAAAACCAGCCATTTGTCTCTAGCAGGGATTTAAAGTTTCTGTCCATTCTATTTCTGTCTCCTGTGCTGGGGTCCAGGTAGAGCGGTCGATGGACAGTTATCACAGTAAGTCCGAGATCTACTAGCATCCAGCCACTGGAGGATTATGTTCCCGTTTAGAGCTTTATGTAATGATGTCCCTGGCTGGGTTGTCTTCAACGACTGAACCTAGGATGTCTGGATCCAAAAGCACAAGCCCTTACTGCTTCAGCTAAAGAAGCCACTCTTAGTTGAAAGGAGATTGCAAATTCATAAACTTCGTACATGGTCCATCCTGTAGAGGGCGGCGGAAGAGCTGGCTGCAAAAGCCTCAAGTCATTCTGTACTTCTGGTTCTGTGATGCACGGTGCCTTCTGCTGTCTCTGCTTCAGAGTTGTAAATAAATGTAGGCTCGGATGCAATATCCTGGGTTTAATCCTCCACTTTACCCCTGTGTGGCCTAATCCTTGCACAGGGAAGTCCCAGGTGGTGTAGCCAGCACTGTGCTTCCTGTACTGCTCCCTCTTGGGGATAGGGACATGCCAGGGCAGGGCATGGAGCAGAGGGGAAGGCCTGTGCTGGGACGGAACGGGCATGTGGCTGGTGTGCCTTGTACGCTGCCAGTCCCTGGCTGGCAGAGTGGTCCCTAAGGGCTCTATTGCAGCTGGCCTACCTTAGAGCATCTTAAAGGCTCCTTCAGGTTAACACTGAAGACAAAAGTGAGTCTCTGGCTGCCCAAGGATCAGAGGAGCTGAAGGTGGCTTAGAGCCACCTTTGCCCACAGCACTGAGCAGAGCTCAGCTGCAGATCTAGTCCATGTAACGCCATTGACACGGAATAAGTGAGATTAGAACCAGAAACCCAGATTCCTGTTTTGGGAGCCATGACATCTGCTCCCGAGTTCTGCCACGCTACCCATCTCCAAATGGTAACCTAGGCATTGACCTTTCCTTCTCTCTCCCTCTCTAGATCAGGATATGTACTTTTACAATGG